CATGGATAAGCAATGCCATGATTGTGCTAATCGTGTGGGTCCATCGAAATTGGGGGACAATCGCATGGATTCAGAAGAAACCTTAAGCGATCAAAATCTTGATCCCAATCTGCAATTCCAGCATCAAGATCCTCAATTCCGTTATCAAGATTATCAAATTCAGTGTCATCAACCACTGATTAAGCTTGACTTTCCTAGATTTGTTGAAGATGATGATCCCTTACCTTGGGTGTATAAGACGGAACATTTCTTTGACTATTTCTTGGTCGCAGTTGATCGAAAAGTTCAACTGGCATCTTTTCATTTTGATTGAGAAGCCCTTCAATGGTTTCAATGGCAGAATTGTCTCAAGAATTTTCCCCGCTGGCCGGATTTTGTTAAGATTTTCTATCATGAGTTCGACCCTTCGGAGTTTGAGGACTTTTTCTGAAGCTTTGATTCAATTATGGTAGACTAGGTTGGTTAGAGATTTCATCGCAAAGTTCAGGCATTTGGCTAATCGAACCCACGAGATTGCTCCGTCGATGCTTAAAAGATGTTTCATTGGGGGATTGAAACCGGAGCTCTGTCACGATGTCAAGCTTCTGCGGCCATTGGATGTTTATGAGGCGCATGCTATTACTTTACAACTCGATGCCAAACTTGCTAATTCTAAGTCCCGATCCTTCTCGAATACCCCAAATTTCTCTTGGCATAATGCAGTGGGCAGTAAAACTACACTAGGTTTTACGAATCCAGGTAGCCCTAATTCTTCTGTTAATTTTCCTAAGCAGAACAATGATAAGAAGATGACATTTGAGGAAATTAGAGAACGCGGAAAAAAAGGGTCTTTGTGATTACTGCCCTATGAAATGGTTTAAAGGACATGTTCGCCAAAACCAGCAACTTTTATTACTTGATTTGTCTGATAGATCAGAAGAGAGTCTTGATGTTAATAATGTGGTAGAAGAGGATGATGAATTGTTGAATGCTCGCATTACTGCTTGTGCAGTGTATGGGGTTTCTGCTCCTGATAACATTCCAACTATGAAAGTCGTATGATCCATTAAAAATTGTTCTGCAGTGATTCTTTTTTACTCTGGCAGCTCTCACAATTTTATTAACCTTGCTTTGGCCAAGAAGATGGGTTAGAGAATAGATCCACTCAAGAAATTTGATGTGATGATTGCCAATGGGGGTACAATTGCTAGTATGGGGTGTTGTTCTCAAGTCAAAATTAATATTCAAGATTATGAATACATCTCAGATTTATATGTGTTGCAGTTAGGGGGTTGTGACGTTGTTTCGGGAGCTCAATGGCTGCGTACTTTGGGACCCATTCTCTAGGTTTTTTAGAAGTTAAAGATGGAATTTACATTGGGCCAAAATCATTATTGCTTATATAGTTCTCCTCCCCCTGCACCAAGTTCATTAACAGCTTGTCAAGTAGAAAGGCTATTGAATCAAGGGTCCTTTGGAGTAGTCTTGTTTCTTATCACTCCGGATAATTATGTGATGATATTGGGAGATTTATCTGGCATTCAACAATCTGAATTAGATGAGTTGTTGTCTCAGTTTGAATCAGTTTTCCAATCACCCACCACTTCGCCTCCATCACGATCTCATGACCATAAGATTCCACTTCTAAAAGGTAGTAAACCACCGAGTGTAAAACCTTATCGGTACAATCCAATGCAAAAGTCGGAGATTGAGAAATGTGTCCAGGAGTTGTTAGATTATAGGTTCATTCGTGCCAGTAATAGCCCTTTTTCTTCCCCTGATTTGTTGGTTCGGAAGAAGGATAACAGTTGGAGGATGTGTATGGATTATCGAGCTTTGAATTTGTTAACTATTAAGGATAAATATCCCATTCCTTTAATCGATGAATTGTTGGATGAATTGTGGGGTGCCCAATTTTTTTCCAAGCTAGATTTAAAGGCTGGTTATCATCAGATTTGTGTCCACCCTGCAGATATAGAAAAAATAGCATTTCGAACTCATAATGGACATTATGAGTTCCTTGTGATGTCGTTTGGTCTAACAAATGCTCCAACAACCTTTCAAAGTTTAATGAATGAGCTCTTTCGACCCTTTCTACGTCAATTTGTTCTCGTATTCTTTGATGACATTTTGATTTACAGTTCTACTTGGGAGGATCATCTGCTACATCTCACTACAGTTTTTCAAGTACTACAGCAGCATCAATTGTTTGCCAAGTGGTCAAAATGTGATTTTGGCAAATCACATATCGAGTACTTGGGGCATGTAGTATCTCGAAATGGAGTGGCAGCGTACCCTTCAAAACTCCGAGTCATTCAAGATTGGCCCTTACCTACTTCAATTAAAGCTTTGCGGGGATTCTTGGGTTTGACGGGGTATTACCGAAAGTTTATACCAGGTTATGGCAAAATTTGTGGCCCATTAACTTCCTTGACTAAAAAAGATGCCTTCCATTGGAATTCTGAGGCTACGACTGCTTTCAATAAGCTTAAGAAGTGATGTTATCTCCGACAGTTCTCGCCCTCCCAGATTTTTCAAAGACATTTGTTATTAAGACAGATGCCTCTAACATAGGCATTGGTGTTGTCCTACAGCAAGAAGACAGACCTATAGCCTTTACAAGCAAAGCTCTTGGTCCTCGATCTCAAGCTATGTCGGCATATGAGAGGGAAATGCTTGCAATTGTACATGCTATTAAAAAATGGCAGACTTACCTTCATGGTAACCATTTTGTTATACGCATAGACCATCATAGTCTGAAGTATTTTTTGCAAAATAGGGCCTATACCCCATTCCAATAGAAATGGATCTTTAAATTGTTGGGATTTGATTACGAAATCTAGTACAAACAAGGTACTGAAAATCAGGTTGCTAATGCATTATCTCGGCTGCATTCAGAGGCTCAATTATGTGCTATTTCCTACCCCTACATGGGATGGTTGGATGACTTGCGCAGACATTTAAAGCAGGAGCCTTGGGTTATTTCTAAACTCAAAGATCCCTCTATTGCTCAAGGGGCTATTGAAACATGTTCCTCTAACTACCACTATGATAATGGTTTTCTCAAGCATAAGGGTCGGATTGTGTTAAGTCCTACTACTAATTGGAGGGATAAGATATTTCATGAACATCATAGTACCTTGATGGTGGGGCACTCATGTTTTCTGAAGACTTACAAAAGGATCTCTCGCTCTTTTTACTGGCAAGGCATGAAGGGGGATATTAGACGAATGGTTGCCGAATGTCAAGTGTGTCAACAAAACAAATATGAAACCTTGGCTTCCCCACGTCTTGAATCCATTGCCAGTACCTCAAACTATTTGGACATATATTTCCATGGATTTTATTGTTGGGTTGCCACCTTGCAAAGGGAAGACTATTATTTTTGTGGTTGTTGATCGGTTCTCTAAACATTTTGTGGCACTATCTCACCCTTATACAGCCCATTCCATTGCTCAGATTTTTGTGGATCACATTTTCAAGCTACATGGTACGCCTGCCACGATCGTTAGTGACCGGGACCCGGTGTTTCTCAGTGCATTTTGGAAGGAATTCTTTGCTTTACAAGGGTCTAAACTGTGTCTAAGCTCTGGATACCATCCCCAATCTGATGGGCAAACCGAGGTAGTCAACCGATGTCTGGAAACATACCTACGTTGTTTTTGCAACCTTCAACCAAAGAAGTGGCTCCAGTGGTTATCGTGGGCTGAATGGAGTTACAATACCTCTTACCACTCTTCTTCAAAGCTCACACCATACGAAATTGTGTATGGCCAACTCCTTCCTACAGTTCTAACATATGAATCTGGTACCACCAAGCTGGATATGATCGATAGGTGTTTGCAAACTCAATCATAGATTTTATCACAACTCAAAACCAATTTGGAAGCTGTTCAAGTACAAATGAAGCAACAGGCGAATAAACATCGTACTAAATGCACTTTTGCAGTTGGTGACATGTTCTATCTTAGACTTGTTCCTTACCAACATCAGTCCTTGGCTTCTCATCCATTTCACAAGCTATAACCCAAGTTTTATGGGCCTTTTGAAGTAATGGAAAGGATTGGGACAATAGCTTACAAAATCAAACTTCCTTCTCACTCCAAATTACATCATGTTTTTCATGTGTCGTGTTTGAAAAAAAACAGTTAGGAGTGGGTGTGGCTCCTACTACTATGCTTCCCGATGTCACTGATGATGGTTTGTTACAGGCTACCCCATTAACCATTCTTCAACATCGTGTGGTCACCAAGGCCAACTCTCAGGTTCCTGAAGTACTTGTGCACTGGAAAAATCATTGCAAGGAGGATGCCACTTGGGAAGAATATGAAGAATTCAAACGTTGGTTTCCCTGTTTTCAACCTTGAGGACAAGGTTTGTTTCTATGGGCGGGGTAATGTTAGGATACTAAGAAGGGATAGCCAAATTAAGTGTGGTATGTGTATGATCTGTTAGTTCAGGGATCCTTATTAGATGTTGGACATTTGTCATTAGATCATGGAAACTTAGCTTGCAAGTCTGAAATGGATATATATAGCAGACTAAGTGTGCAAAGTAGGTTATGTGAAGAAAAGTATATTGTGAAGAATAATACAACAGACTTATGTGTGTCATGCGTTGAAGGTTAGAACAAGGTTCCTATTATAGTCATCCCAGTTGTTGCTAGTCTCATCATAGCCTAAAAGAAATTCACAAAACCATTCATATCACACATGAATTTTGATATAAAAATATATACATGAATTTAAAAAAGAATCTGACAATCCATAAACAAACCAATCTAAAGCAAAAAGTTGACCCATAAGTTTTACCTCCATAATAATAGGCAGCAGACATATAATAGTTACAGAGATAGCACAGATGAATCCATGAAATCAGGTAACAAAAGGGTAGCAGACGCTCTGATGTGATTTATCCATTTGTAGCATTACCAGAATGAATAGACCCGTATTGGTTAACAGAAGGTTGCATGGAAAAAGAACTAAAGCTTGGAACCACCACATATAACATAAATGAATGAATGTTTCAAATTTAGTTTGTTAATAGTTTTTCACGATCAATCGTTGTGATACCTAAAATACCTTATCTCACCCTATTCAATTTATATCACGTCTCATACCATAACTACAAAAAAATACACAGTTACTCAGTTTCTCAAACTATCAACTTTCACAATATACAAAATTAAACTATCACAATATTACAAAAACAAAAAACAAAAAAATTTGTTCCACAAAAAATGAAGAGTAACGTCTCCTGAAACGAAAAACAGAAGCAAATCATATGCCCAGACAACGAATCTAACGATATAAACAAAACCCAAAATTACAAAAACAAAATTCATACACAAATCCCATCTGAATATCGAAAACTGTCAACAGGATTCTCTCACCTATGCAAATATCTCGATCATCGTCAGATTCCAATCAACTTTAGTTAATTGAATTAACGTTAATGAATTGTAATAGGAAGTAATGATTATGTCCAACCTTTAGGTCAACATTTGTAGACTATATCTACAGTGTTGAGTTTTTGTTTCAATATTTGTTGTATATTTCATTATGAAGATTACAAGAGATTGAAGACAACTCTTATAGAGAGCCAAAAGAAAGCTACAATAGATTGTGGGATAACTATACAAACACAATCCCTAAAATTTGCCCTAACAAGAGGAAAAGTAAAAACCAAATTACAAGTAAAGAAGCTTTTACAAGCAACTAAGAAAGGTTGATGTAAGGTGAATGACAAGCTATGGAAAGTGATTGGCGAATGACAAGCTATGGAGAAAGGTTTATGTAAGGTGAATGACAAGCTATGGAAAGTGACTGGTGAATGACAAGCTATAGTGAGGATGACAACTCATACATACAACCCGTCCATACAAACCGGTTTCAATATACAGAAACTACCAAAAAAATTTAAAGGCCATACTAAGAAAGTAAAAAAAAACTCATCAGCAAACGCTAGGGGTTTCATACCTTTTATATACCTTGAGCACAAAGTGGTTCCAAGGTTGCACACGAAAGCCCCAAAATTGCAACACCACCGTTTCCTGAAATTGAAAACTTCATATCCAAGCGCACACACAAAACCCCAGAATTACAAACGCAAAATTTAAACACAAACCCCCAAAATTATAAAATCAAAATTTAATCTGCTACCCCTTCTCTCCCGTTTTTCACTCACCCTAATCTCCATTTCTTCAAATGACCTACCTCCCTATCTCCGTGCATACTCCTTATCTCTCTCATTAAATCAAAACTCTCAAACCCAATTCAAAGCCTCATCAGAACCCATAGCATAATCTAATTAAAAATAATACCCAAAAAAAAAAGATTCAATTTTTAATATTTTAAAATTGAAGAAAACACAACCCATAGAATTGAAAAGAAAAAAGAAAAAAAAAACTCCGAGATGTAGGATTCAAAGAACTTACCATAAAACGTTAACCTTTTTTGCTTAAAATCATCTTCAATCCAAATCAAAAAGCTTAAGAAGCTTAAACTGCTTTGGTTTTTTCCAGCAAGCCAAGATTTGACAGGGATAGAAACGAAAGTTTGAGAGCGATGGAGACCATGGCGACAAAAAGAAAGGGAAAAAAGCTTGAGAGCGACGGAGACCATGGCGACAAAGAGAAAGGGAGAAGCTTGCAAAACACTGACAAGAGGGCGAGAGAGGGAAGAGAAATGGAAAGCAAAGAAAGAAAAAACAGAGAACTGAAACAGAAACGGCAGCGATGATGGACGCATGCCAAGTGAGGAACAGAAAAAGAAGATCGAAAGGTTAAAATAGGAAAAAAAAATCAGAACACAAAGGAATGAAAAGGCATTTCCGGCTATAAACAGTTAGTGGAAGGATAAAACTGTAAAAAACAAAATTAGAACACAAAAGAAGCAAAGGGCATTCCACCCGTGCACTGTTAGTGAACGATGTTTTTCACTTGGGTTTTAACTTTTAGTATATACTAGAAAAATTGCCCGCGCGCTGCTGCGGGTTTTGAAACCATAATGCAAGACATGCACAAATAATTTCTACAGAAAGACGTACGAATTGTTGATGAAAGCCTTGAACTTTCTTAGAATTATAAGTTTTGTGTTGTGTAGATTGGACATGCATTGGTCTCACAATTTGGGTAGGAAGAAAAGAAAGAGTTGTTTTCTTACAACTAACGCTAGAGTCCAATTTTCACGAAAATAGAAAAATGCTAGAGTCCAGTGAAACAGAAAAATATGCAAGGAATTCATTCATCATCTAAATAGTAAGGCATCAAGACCATACAAAGGAAATGGTGATGCACAAAATACACACATTTTTTCTGCTTGTATATAAGAATGATAGCCAGGTATTTGTTAGTAAAAATAGAATGAAAAGTTGGAAAAGTACCAACAAACAGAACCGAAGGAAGCTAATGGATATATTCTCTACTCTTTATTTGTCTCACTTCTCTCTGTTACAATGACATTGATTTTGTCAAATTTCAATTGGGAAAATTGAAATTAGCATAGGACTATGCAGATGACTCTAGATTTTTATACAAATCTGGAGGGCACCAAGACTACCAACCAGATTCTTAAAGGAACTTTGATTTGTTCGCATAATTACCTGCTAACCAAATCTTGACACAAGCGGCCAAATTGCAAGCTCAAGACTTACCTCAAACCGAAGGCGGCGTGCTGTCTAGTAGTCCAAACCTTGATCCTTGATAAATTGAACTTCCTTCTTTAATCTAACAATCGAAAAATAGATAAATTAGGCAGCATGTCATATCAATATAACACCCCTATACGTACACACACATACCTAAACAGCCTACATTCAGATTTGCATCATATCCTTGTTTCTAACTCTCTGGGGAATTTTCACAAACACCTAATAGGCAAGATTTGCTTCAATATAAAAGAAATTTGATTTAGTCAGTGATCTCAATTGCATGTATATCTGAACGACCATACTTGTTAGTCAATCATGTTATAGGATGTATTTAACACTTTCCAAGTGATTCCAAAACAACATCCTACATACATATTATGTTGCCAAACTATGAATCAAGACCGAACTTTCCTACTTTGGTAATGTAATCTCCCAGTCTAGTTACGATTTGGTTCCTATATTTTGACCTGAAAACAATTTTGGTCCCCTAGAAGTTGCCAATGGCACCCGAATTGTAACTGGAAAACAACTCAGACACAACTATGAAAAATTAAAACTCGAGGCACCAGAGTGTGAGAACAAAGAAACCAAAATAGTTAAATTTACCTTTGTATATCATACATACCATTAAAAATTTGTTTAGAGATAAAAATGGTAGTAATAGTAGAGAATCCAACCTAACCAAAGAAAATGGATTTCCTCACTTTCTAGTGCTATTACATTTACCGTGCTTGAGACTATTCAAAGATGAAAAAAGTGCAAATTTCATGCAATATGAAAACAAATCCGTGATAGTTAATATTGTTTACCATATAAGCTAACAATCTCATTTCGTACGTAAAACATGAAGATCACTATAAGACACCAGCATATAACTTTCATCAATGACATACTTTATGAGAATCTTGGATCCAAAAGTTTCTCCAATAAAATAAATTTAGGCTCGTATATGCAATATATTAACATGTGAAAAAAAACATGCATACCTAATGAAATAATGAGAATGGCCTTTGACCGTTTGTTGTCTTTGATACAACTCTATTCATCCATGTCTTCATGTTTGTATCCTTTGAGACATTGACATGAATAATTTCCAGGTGAATTTATGGATGTTTCAATATCTGGAAAGTAAGGAACCATGGACGAACATCATTTAAAATCCCAATTTTTAAATTGGTTGAATTGGGAAAGAACCATTTGTACATTCACATGCTATTAAGAGAAATAACCTTAAAAATAAAGCACTACACATACACAAAATTTGCTCAATATAAAAAGCAGCAAGAAACTAATGTAATTTTCAGCTTCTAACTCGTCCATTTGATCAACAAATTGATGGAACAAATGTAACTTTCAGTTTCTAACTCATTCATTTGATCAATATCATCCAAGTCAGAAAAGATAGAACACAAAAATGATTAGGATATATAAATAAGGGCTTCATCTGAGTCAATATCAGCCACCATTCCCAAAAAAATTGATGTCAGGACTCTGTCAAGCATCTATGAAGCAACAAATGTAACTTTCAGTTTCTAACTCATTCCTTTGATCAATATCATCCAAGTCAAAAAAGATAGAACACAAAAATGAATAGGATATATAAATAGGGGCTTCATTTAAGTCAACATCAGCCACAATTCCCCAAAAAAAAATTATGTCAGGACTCTGCCAAGAATCTATGAAGCCCCTTCAAAGTACGAAAGTTTGTAAAGACACTTGTTAAGGAACAAAATGATGAAGAATACGGAAGGTAAGTAGTGACAATCATCAACTCACCTACATATCCAGCATAGTAGCCAATGTCTTCCTCTCTTTTAGCAATATGCAAATCCCTAATCTGCAAACGATAATTTGGAATCTTGAGATACCAAACAGACTTCAACAAGGTTTGAAGGTTGAATATTTCATAAAATTTAATAACTAAAAGCAACATCAGTATTAATACGTGAGCACTCACCAAAAAATAAAGGAATGGAAAGAGCAATGATATTGGCAGTGCTACAAAACGATCATCAAACAATAGATCAGGGTTAAAACATTTATAAAAAGTTAGAAGACGGTGCAGATATAAACATTACTTAACAAAATTGATAAATGATTTCGAGTGTGACAAAGCAATCAAATTACAGGATCAGCTCTTCCGCCTTCAAACACACTCATCAAATCTATATTAAATTTCACATTTTTAGGCGAGGGCAAACTACCAGAAACGAAAAGGATTATACCTTTTATCAAAGTTCTATAGCCTTGGTTCCTCCGCCATTGCTTGTCTTCTCCGGTCTGGGTTTTACTTTCCTGGCAGTCTCTTCCTTCCCTGGTAGTTTTATCAAAGATCTACAAATGCCAATACCGATTTCTAAGATTTTAGTATTCTCTTTACCCTTGCAACTGAAAACCAGAATCCCAGAAAAATGAGCAAGAAGCTTAAGCAAAAAAAATCATATTTTCAACCACCAAAACCCAATACCCATCTAACCTAAGATTTTAGTTTTCTCTTTACCCTTGCAACTGAAAACAAAAAATCCCAGGAAAATGAGCAAGAAGCATACGCAGAAAAAAAAAACATATTTTCAACCACCAAACCCAATACATATTTTATCATACACGAACGAAAAATCTAAACACAGAGTCATAGATCAACGAACTGAAAACCCACAAAAAAAAACCCAAAAAAAGAAAAGAAAACTGACCTTAAAACAATGAACAATACACAGAACAGAGAGAAACTGACAGAAAACGAAACAAATATAGGAACCCCCAAAACCTGACCTAACAATGCAACAAAATCGGGAAATAATTCACAGCCAAAAGGCTGAAATGATGACAATCTATGCTAACAGTAAAGAATCCAATAAAAAATGGAACTTAGCTTTCGAAATCCAACCTCTCATCCGACACGCAAAAGGTAACGGACGATCCAGAGTGATTCATGGACTAAGGGACCTTACTCGGCTCTGTTCACCATCCCAACCCCTCCCTCTCTGTTCCTCTCCCTGTTATCCGGACAACAACTCTCTCTCTCTCATTGTCTCCCTTCCACTCACCCATGCCAGGATCGGCATGGCCTTGCTTGTGCCGAAGAAAGAACGAAGTGATAAGGAAGAAACCTAACCCCAATCTGAAGCCCTATTGATAAAAACACGATTCTACCCTTCTAACTCATCATCCTCACCGTGAGATCTGAAGATGAGATGGAGGCCGTGGTTGAGAGAAATTGGATGAGAGACGGCTAGGGTTGAGAGAGGTTGAGAGAAATTGAGTAGCAAGGTTTTCTTTTAGAAAAGATGAAGAATAATGGGGTGAGCGGCGCTGGGGCTAGAGGTTGAGAGAAATGAAGAGAGAGAAAGAAAAAGTCAAAGGCAACGAACCCTACAGACAAAATTACCCTTCTAAGTTCTAATAAATACCCTTCCAACCCAGCCCAAATCTGTTGGGTTTCTTGTAAATAAGGTGAAATCAAGGGGTAATTGTCACATCCCGACCCGGGTCCACCACATCCCGGGCTCATTCCACCACTGTAGCATGATATTGTCCGTTTTGGGCTTACCATTCCCTCACGATTTTGTTTTTGGGAACTCACGAGCAACTTCCCAGTGGGTCACCCATCCTGGGAATGCTCTGGCCTCCTTCTCGCTTACGGAACCAGAAGCCAATGAGCTCCCAAAAGGCCTCATGCTAGGTAGGGATGAGAATATACATTTAAGGATCACTCCCCTGGGCGATGTGGGATGTTACAGTAATCCGTCCTAAACCCTGCTGACAAAATTACCCTTCTAAGTTCTAATAATTACCCTTCAAACCCAGCCAAAATCTCATGGGTTTGTTGTAAATAAATTGAAATCAAGTGGTAAATAATTGACTGTAGCCATGAACAGTGTCAATTCCCCCTAACTTTAGAATAGATAACAGATTTTAGTAATCCAAATTGCTTGTTTGATTGTTTTAGTTCATGAACTAAAATGAACTTACCAATGACAATACTGACTACTGAATTGAACACCCCCAGTAGAGACTGGTACGATTCAATTCAACACTTTGTTCATTCGGGTTTGATTGACTATCCCAAGTATTGTATACAAGCATGTGCCCTTTAAGGTTAAATGGGTATGAGGTTATGGGTATGATTAACCGTTTATCAACGGTTATGGGAAT